ATTCATTCTCCAAAACCATCTTTCGTTGTGACGCTCGTCCTACTCGGAACATGCTTCGAAGGCTCAACCGTCGACTATTCTGTTCAACGTCACTGCAACGCAATAATCGATAGATGGAGTTTCTAAAGCGCCAGCTTCAGAACTTTGCCTTAGAGCGTTCTCAAAGAGATTTTTTTTTCTCACCTTTTTAGCATCTTTGAAGATTCGTGAACACCGTTAATCAAAACCACGACGCTCGCTCTTTTTCCATCCTACCGAGAGAAAAAAAAAAGAGAATCGTTTCAGCCGCCACACTATCATAATCCTTCACACCTTTCACAATGGATCTATTCGATTTAAGCTGGGCCTCTTCATTAATATTGAAAACGTGTTTTGTTTTGTTTTGTTTTTCTCGCTAAGTTCGTGAGAAGACGATAAAAATAGCGCTGAAAGCACATTGTCCTCGATTAATTGGTTTTGAAAACAAAAGCAAAAAACAGCTGCACCTCTAGGAAGGGTTATATAATTTGTCAGTGGTTGCATTATATTAAAAACAGAGATGCATTTCTTCTTTATTTTGTTAACTACTGAGATTATTCGTCTATATGCAACGACTCTGAGCTTCCCAGCTCAACAAATCCTTCTTCCTTTTTTACTGTAGTCAATTTGGTAAATTCGAAATATGTTCAGAAATATCCTTTGAATTAAAAAAAAATCAAACAGCAGAATTCCTACTTCCTATTATGATATGTGTCCTGCCAACTTGTAACAGAGAACATTTTCACCAGCGTAAGTCGCTAGTCAATGCTTGACCTTATGAACCGAACAAAAGTATCTGATGGAAATATTAGCTCAATATAGGCATATTTTGGAAATACTTTCACAACATGTTGGTAGCTTTTGTTTGTTTCTTAAAACTGATTTTTGCACTAGAATTTAGCTAAGTCTCACCATAACTCAAACGCACCCAAACGTCTGCCATGCCAAGTATGAAGATAAAGCTGCAACTCTTCGATTCACAAAATCCTACTCAAAACTACAGAGCGCGCCACCCTCCTATCTCTAAACTCATCGATTGACAAATCAGAGAGATATATTTATCTCACAAGTTATCCAAGGACTAAAAATGACAACAATAAAATCTGAGAGGAAACAAATTAACACCAAGAGTCCACATAGCAAGTACAAATTCGTTTAGGATTATCCATTAGCTGAACCTCGGCAAGCACGAATGAAAATGGAAATGCTATTCAAATAAAAATTTGTTTTGCTAAATGTCTGGTTTGTGTAATGAAACGAAAAAGATCAGTAGCCAAGTGGCTTAACGCCAACTAGATCAGCTGAGTTACTGGACTACTCATAGACGCTGCTTGCACAAGCACTACCTCCCCCCCCCCCCTCCCCTCTCCCCACGACTTGCCTCCCGTCGTTCAACGTGCCGGCCAGGTGCAATGGTAACTCCAGTGCATGATATGAAATACGCACTTTTTGGAGCACAGCGTTTCGGTGGCGTTTCACCGTTGTCTATGAAACACTGTTTTACACGAAAACCTAGATGGCGCTTCAAACGCCACGTGCACCACGCAGTAGTGATACACGACCGCACGCCGGTACGATGCTCATCCATTTCGTTATGCTGTTTAAACACGAAAGTCTAATTTGCCTATATTTTGTTATGCTTGGCATTGCGCGGTGATAATCTGACGCAAGCTCTGTGATCATAAAAACAAAATTATGAATAAGCAGCGCTGCATGTCCCCTTGTCTCCTGTCCCATCCTCTTTTGCGTTGACTTCTACGAAATTGCCAAAAGAGTGCCTGTTCTCAAGCAGACGTGAAAGGCGATAGCGCCACTGTCGTTTTGTATGAAACGTGTCTGCACCGATCTCCCCTAACAAACATTGGCGTTCGTAACCACTCCCCCTAGAATTACTATACTCTGCTTCTTGTATATGAAGGGAGCACGTAATTTTTTTGCTGTTTAGGCCTCGGAACAGTGTCAACCAACGTCACGTAATGTTTGCGTGCACCCAAGGCAATGTTTACAAACATGGCAGGCTCCTCACGTGGAAGGCAACACCAATAAATTTTGCCTCGTAGATGCGTAGTAGATACTTGTGTGTAAACTCTATATATATAACAAAGAAACGCTTCTGTTGGGTGCGGTCATTTCTGTGGAGGCACGTTCACCGCATGACTTGTACTCTTTGCGAAAGCGGTGAGTGCATTCAAAGGCGCGTACACAAAATTCAATGTTGTGGTTTTTTTGGTTTTTTTTTTCTTATATTTAAATGGCTGTTAAATGCAATGATGCTCGAATAAGTGCTCTTGGTGATGCACGTCCCACTTCGACGAAACTAAGTAAAAGTCTGCTGTTTGCTTTAGTTCTATAGAACTCGTAAATTAGGGGTGATAGGAAATTCGGAGCCCCCAAATAGGCACAACTATATAGATTTATTCAGGTGGCGTATGTCTTAAGTGTACGCAAATGCAGTTATTTTATAATTTTGTCACCTTTCCTCTGTCCCTTCCAATCATCTTCAAGTTTACTTGCCTGCCTCAGAGCTTGATCACCATGATTAATACGCAACAGCTCGCCCGCACTTTTACCATTTTTTTACTAATAGCATTTGTCGAAAATACACCTGCTACCCAGCCGCTGCTGCTGCCAAACTCATCTTTAAATGCAATACATGGATGCAAAACACCTCGTCGAAGCCCTTTTTTATGCTTTGATAAAAAGCTGCATCTTAAATATCTATCTATCTATCTATCTATCTATCTATCTATCTATCTATCTATATATATCAATATCTATCTATCTATATCTATATTCATCTATATCTATATCTATCTATCTCTATCTAGGTGCATCTATCTACCTATATCTATCTCTCTATCTATCTATCTATCTATATATATCTCTATCTATCTATATCTATCTATCTATATATATATATATATATATTTATATCTATCTATCTATATCTATCTATCTATCTATCTATATTGTTGCGAAGATGTGCGGCCGGCAGAAAATGGCAATGATGCGTCCACTCAATGAGATAGAAGGGATTTTATCGAAGCCGGGCCGTGCGCGCGGAGCGTGGCACGTGATGATCTGGCGCGGCGCGCCACTGCCCCAATGTCGCCGTCTTCTTCGTCACATTACCCCCTCTTTTAAAGAGGACGACCCGGCCGATGAATGAAGGAAACACGAGGGTAAACTGAAAACACACATACACACGTAGAAGACAAGGACGAAGACACATGGTTTTACGTATGACTGCTGCCGGCCGCGTAGAATGAAAATGTTGTTAAACCAGCAGCCTCTCTCCACAGCATTGCCGATCTATGTGCCAGCCACAACCCCACGACTTCACGATCCGGGCTGGGGAATTCATTTGACCGCTATCAACGCAGACGGGGCTTGGGACAGGGCAGGGCAGGGGACCATAAACTCGCGTCTGTGTCTCAATTTCGTCCATAGTTCATCTTGTTCACGGCGTTCTTCATAAAAAAAAAACTCGTTGCTTACATTCGCTGAACCTCTGTCACACTCCCTTTGGCATTTTCGGCAGTTCGCGAGGCGGGGGCTGTGCGGCGGGGCTATGGTCAGGAGGTCGATCGGCTGCGGCGGAGGACTGCTGCAACCAAGGTCCGGAGCGATGATGACAAGGAGCAAAAGATGATGTACCCCGCACCTCCACCAAATGTTACGAAGATGTGCGGCCGGCAGAAAATGACAGTGATGCGTCCACTCAATGAGATAGAAGGGATTTTATGGAAGCCGGGCCGTGCGCGCGGAGCGTGGCACGTGATGATCTGGCGCGCCACTGCCCCAATGCATAGCCTCATTTATACAGTATAAAGGAGGATATGCCCAATGTCGCCGTCTTCTTCGTCACAATATCTATCTATACCTATCTATATCTATTTATGTCTATCTATCTATCTATCTATATCTATCTATCTATTTATCTATCTATCTATCTATCTATCTCTATCTATCTCTATCCATCTATCCATGTATCCATCCATTCATCTACATATATATATATATATATATATATATATATATACTTATGCCGCTTGTGGAGGTGAGTTATACGGCCAGGGGGACATATTATAGGAGGCTACTCGTAAAACTCGGTCGACTAATTAATTAGAATTTGTTAAGTAACTTTTGAATTAATGAATATAGAGATATGGTTTCAATTAGAAACTTGCTCAGCGTCATCAAAAACAACTTAATCAGTCATTTTTAGAAAGACTTCGAGCGCGTGAGAAGCGTAGTTGTGCACTAAAGTTACCACTTGTGGAGCAGGTACAAAGCAAGCGGTTGCGATGAGGCGCCCGCGCGATTTTTCTGTCTCTTATCTAGCCCCAGCCTTGTACCTGCTCCACGAGTGGTAACTTTAGTGCCCTACTACACTTCTCACGATAAAAGTCTTTCTGAAAATGACTGATTTAGTGGTTTTCGATGACGCAGAGCAAGTTTCTAATTGGAACTATATGTCTATTTCCTTAATTAAAAACTTAATTAACGAATTTAAATAATTAGACGACTGATCATTACGATTAGCTCCCTATAATATGTCCCCCTGGCCGTATAACTCACCTCCACAAGCCGCATAAGTTTAACTTTCACGGCTTAAAAAACACCCTATACATATATATATATATATATATATATATATACAATACCATCAAAACGTGACAAACCCACGCCAATTAAGTGCGTTCATAAATCCGAGCCTCTAATTTCGTTAGCTCTCTCACCGCCCTCGGCTGAACGTTATCATATGTCCTCCTAGCTTTTTTTGTTTTGTGTGTGTCCTTGGTGTGTATGGCATAGCATTATTCTTTATGGCCACGCGTGCGGGCTTACCAAACAGAAGAGCGTATAGTTTAATCTAGGGCACTAAGAATTTACATTATTTGTATTAGTAAAGCGGTACTAAAGCGCTGGACAAAAATAGGCATAGAAAGAGGAACCAAAACTGTATTATAAAACATAAAATGTGTGGTTTGTTCGGCTCCATTCGAAGGGTAGCGTAGGCTGCGCTCGGGCTTAAAGTAAATGCTGAAAATGTTCTTTTTTTTTTTTCTAAGATGTAATGTTTACAGGTTGCCTCTCCCTTGCGTCCCCCACAGACGCGTCAGCCACCACAGTGTTGGCGACGGACGGCGGCCGAGCCGTCATCCCGTGCCTGGCCAAGCTCCGCGCCGACAACAACGACTCGGCCGTGCTCGTGCGCTGGTTCAGGGACAACCGGACCGAGCCCTTCTACAGCCTGGACTCTCGGTCGCGGCGCGGCGGCCTCTCCAAGGGCCACCACTCCCGCGACGAGGCCTGGAAAGGTCGCTCCTTCTTCTCGGTGCTCCAGGAGCCACCCAGCCTGAAGATCAACCGCGTCGACTACGAGGACAAGGGCGTTTACACCTGCGACCTGCTCTACTCCAGCGGCAGGCGCTACAGCGCCGTCGTCTACCTCGCCGTCTTCGGTACGTGGATGCTCGCGTCGTTGTTGAGGTGTGACTGAGGCAGGAAAGCTGCATGAGAGAAAGAGAGAGAGAGAGAAGGGGATCAAACAAAGAAAACAAAACTTAGATTAGATTCACACTAAAGTTTCTGCATATAGGCTCCCGTAGTCCTCTCGGGGTAGCCTATCAGGAACTCTAATCAACACCACCTAGAATGATCAAAGCCCGTGCACTAGAATTTTGACGTCATCACAGTAAGATCGAGCGGAGACACCGAGTGGATACGAGTGTTGCGTCAGTGTTCGGCTGGGATTCGTGTCCAATCATCGCGTCGAAGGACGCTCGGACTCGGGAGTCCAATCGCTCAGTGGCCGCCATGCGACTCTGATGAACCTCCATGTGGGAAAAGGAGGGCGTTGGCAGGCCTCGATTACCTCAAGAAAAGCCCGGCGTTTCTGTCGGCTAATGCAACATTCTCATTGGTTGTGAAGTGAGAATGCGATGCTCCTCATAGATAACCCCACGCTCTGGGTTCCTTACGCTGTCAGACTATAATAGTCCCGGTTGGCTACTCTGCATAAATTCTTGGTATAGGGTACTAAAGGAGAAAATGAGACAGGCGGAGGAGACCCAAAGCCTGGATATAGTACGTAAAAAAGCGAGAAAACGCACACTCACACACGGCACTGGCTAAACTAATTAAGGTCTTCAAAGGCAGTCGTTTAAAGGGTCTCCTCTAGAAAATATATGGGTTCATCTGTTCCCCACCTTTTTTTTATTTTTTTTGAGGATTATGATAGGCGCCGAACACTTTTATAGTATGCTTATAACGGACGCTTCCCACGTCGCACAGGGCCACCCTTGTAGTTTTACCTCTAGATTTCGTAGAACGCGCAGTCGCGCAGTTTGAGGGTTGCTTATTCCATCATACGCACAACGTGGACAGTCTGAGGTTCCGCGTGGGGATACAAGATTAGGGAGGCGGGCAGAGGGCGGCTTTGCCGTGGTTTTGGAAACGTTTCTTCGATTGGCGTATGCACCAGTCTTATTTCTGTACTCTGCATTTACCCTAATGGTCTGCGTCATCGCCCCCAATTTAGGTTCGGTCTTCTGAAATACCTAATAACTTAGCCACGCCCAATATAAACACGGCAACCTATAGCGACCAAACATTTCTGTCTTAATGTTCACACTACTAACAATAAAGTGTTGAAGAGTTTTACCCTCTCAGTTTGTTGTTCTGCCTTTGCGCTAAATGTGCTTCTTTTTTTTTTTCAACATCTGTTTGTTGTAATTATTAGGTTCATGCGAAGCATCCAACAGGTATTGCAGGTATTGGTGCGGTATTCGAGGTACTTGGAGCTTTTCAAGAACTTCATAGCAGGGACTAAAAACGGTAACCGTTACGCGAACCGAAAACCGTTTAGGAGCGGTATAGTTTTGGCAACCGGAACCGGAACGAAACCGATATTTGCAGCTCAGATAAACCGGAACCGGGACCATTTCAGATGAACCGGTAACCAAAATATTTGTTCGGTTTGTCCTTTCATTTTTTTTTTCTTTTTTTGCAAATAAGAATTTAATATTTCGAAACGGGATCTTCAACTGCCATGGGCATGAAGCACACGACATCCGCGCGGCTAATGCCCGTCATAAGTTCAAGTAAAAGTTAACTTTAATTTCCAGATCACTTGGCATTACTGCTTCGGTGGAGATGCAATTCACGTAATAGGCCCTACAGAGTCAATTGTGTTCTATGTTCTTTTTATTTAGTCTTCTTCAGAGTATGAACGCGTTAGTTTTATGTAATCTTGAGATGTTAGACCAAATTCGTACTCTCAACTTCCAAGATTCTAGACGTGGAAAGAGGGATTTAGATAAATTAACTTCTTGCGGGTTTGATGAACTTTAAATTCTCGCATGCAGTGTCATCTAACAAACAAAAACAAGACACATAATTATGAAACAAGAATAAACGCAATAATAATTATTAAAATTAAGCTTCAAACTATGTTAGCTAAGCTTTTTTTATTTATTTATTTTCATTGATGAACGACATTTACGTCCGTACTATTCACACGACGGTCTTGGTAAACGCAGCTGGTGATAGGGAATAATAATACTAGGGGCCGCTCTAGTTACTGACAGGAGGAGTTTTAGTCACCCCGTCTTCAGCGATAACGCTTCAGCGTCTCGAGAGCCTCATGTGTGCGCATGCGCAGTCAAAGCACGGTGGAAGGCAACGACCGCGTGCTGCAGGACGAGCGTTCAAAAAAGACTCCCTGCCGTATTCACATTGTCAGCGACTAAAGTTGTTGTGACTGGGACAATTTCGAAGGATAGGAGTACCAAGACACAAGGAACAAGTAGAAGAAACAAACAGCACTCGATTTGTTTTCTTCTTCCACTTGTCGGCTGACTCTCGGCGCTGCTGCTAGCTTTTCCAGTTAAACCGTTAAGAGGAGCAAGTACCACTCAACCCACAGAAGATGGTTTACGGCGTTTGTCGAGACTCGTCTTCACTGGGCTCCGTTTTGAATAACCTTGCAATTACCAGAGGCTATACCGACCCTGTGAACCAATACGATCAACGCAGCGATGCATGTGACAACACAATGCAGGAGGGAACTCTAACGGGCTCCTGTCACTTACCTCATTTCGATGCTCATATTTGCTTACATAGGAACGTAGCAGGGTGGACCAGCATCGCGATTCAAACGTATTGCGACAGCATTTCAGCCATACATCCTGTATTTGTGTTCTTGTACGGCAATTAAAATGTTCAAAGGTACCTCGTATTTATGTAGCGTAATGTATTTTAAGCCGGGGTCACACTGCTCATACATCATACAAAAGACAGTCTGCAAGCACGAGTAACTGCCAAATCTATGGTTCGAGTGCCGCGTACCAAGTCCCTCCTTGAAGTCATTGTCATGCGGTATTCGAAGCACGGATCTCGCGGTGACTCGCGTTCGACTCACGTATGCAGACTGTTTTCTGTGTGACGTATAAGCAGCGTGACCCCGGCTTTAGGATATATTCCTGGTATCGCGGCTATCAGGAACCACTTATCTCGTTGCAATTAAAAAAAATCATTGCCCTTCAACAAGAAGTTAGAGTGGACTTTTATCAATAAAATAGAGAGATGTACTAGTTGGTACATGATTGTTTAAACAATATGCACCGTGAAACAGTAACAAAGGAAGAGGGACACAGCACAATGAGCTTTGTATTTTGTGCCCTTCTTTTTGACTGTTTTATGGCGCATAATGTTTAATTTACCGTTTTCCCTTTTTTTTCTTTTTTTTTTTTTTTTTTGCCGGAGTGCTTTTTGAAGGGGTTCCTGGTTTTGTTATTATGCATACCAAACATCATTCGGGATGTTTTTCTCTGATTATATTGGATCACTTCTCTATTCTACGTAGACAACAAATGTCTTCTAGGGCTTCAGGTAGTCGAATATTCTTGTAGAATTAAAAAGCTATGGCGCTGCAGGCACGTCTTTCCAACCAATAAGAGAGCACCGGCTCATTCCTCCATTAGTGGAAAAACAAATAAACTAACCTTCATTTCTATGTTTTATTCATTTAACCGCAAAAGTGCGGTTCTGAGAAACGCTTAAGAGGAAGCCAAACCACAGAAGCTGAAACCGTAAAGAACCGAAACGAAGCCCATCTCATAAATATAACGGTAACCGCATTCGTAGCCGAACCGTTAATAGGGACTTTCAGCAACCCGGTCCCGTGTTCCGCGTACCGCACTACCGCAGCCTTTGAAGTGTGCTTTTAAGTGCACGCCCGGGAGGTACCGTGACCACGGGGTGCGCGCTTAAAAGTATACTTCAAAGGTTCCGATAGTGCGGTACGCGGAACACTGTAACGGTTTGCTAAAAGTCCCCATTATTTTTGGTTCGAGCCCTGGTTTCATAGAACTTTTTTCCCCAACCCCCCTAAAACCACCACTACTACTAATGTTACAACTACTGCTACTCCTACCACAATTTGGAAGGAACCACTGACGTGTACAGCAACGTAGGTAGGGCCAGCCAGCTTATGTTCTGCTGTTGCTTGTGTCCTGGCTGGTGCAGTTCCCACAAACTACAGTTTTGGGCGCCGCTATTCCAGCGACGCTTGCGCCGGCTCGTCCACTTTTCCGTCACTTTAAAAGCAATCACCAGGATCGAAACAGGCTGAGCCATTCCCTCGAAGATTTCTTTGGCGTAAGACACTCCTTTTCTTGCAAACATTTCAAAGCATTGAAGGTAGAAAATGCCAAACAGACCAGTCGGAAACCCATCACGGTCCAGTCCCGCTTGAGTGACAAACAAAACCTTTGGACCGGCAACACAAGAAGGTGTACTGTCGCTGGATCCGTCTCACTTAGCGACAAATATAACCAAGAAACCTAAAAAAGAACTCTCACCGACAGACACTCTTTGTGTTTGCTTTTTATTTTCTGTATGCCGCGGACAGCCCATATAGAAACGTTTCTCTGAGATAAATCGTTTTCCTCGCTCGTATTTAGCTCGTGTATGTTTTCTCGCTCGCCATCGCTCCCCCCCCCCCCCACCCCCCCCCCCCCCCCCCCGCACGCAAATTTTCGTCACATATTTATATCCCTGCCGGCCAGCCCGTACAGGTACGCAAAATAGACTCTTTTGTTGATCACCTCTATTCGCCGTGTTCAGAGTCGACCTCATGCTGTAATGGCGGCTTCACACATCTCCACACAAAAAGAACTGAAGTGATATGAGAGCTTAGAGGAGGAGGAGGAGAATGACACTGGATGCGATAAATCGGTTCATGTACGGAGGGCGCCACAACTCTCAAAACCTAGCAATCGCCGATTGTTGTTTTTGTTGTTTTTCTCAAATGAAACGTTGCAATTAAATCTACTGTTGTGCTGTAATGTGCTCATCCGGTGTTCGAAAGCTCGCGCTGCCGAACCCAGGGATCCTGGATTCAATCCCCACCCCTGTCCGTTTCGATCTGGATGAGCATTGTACCGGTGTTTTACCGCAC